CGCCAAATTAATAAAACTATCGATTCTATGTTTTTTTTTTCTATAGAATAAGGGTGACTAACGAACACACAGTCCTCCTGATGGTATGTAGATGCTGTGGCCTATAGACATTCTATCCTTAATTAAAAATCAAATGCAAATGTGATGTCACAGGGATGGCCAGGGTCTACCGCATTTTTTTATAGAATAAGGGTGATAAACGAGCACACAGTCCACATCTACGTCTATCCTCAATTAAGAATCAAAATGCAGATGCGTTTATGTGTACTTTTTAGTTATAAGGGTTTGAAAAAGGCTCAAAATGGTTCGTGTAATATATGTCGCCTTTTTCTTTTCCAAACTTGGCCAACTCAATGCCGTTTGTCTTGACAGTTTTTTCAATTAAACACCTAGCAGCATCACAATGGTTGGTCAATAATCAATAGATTCAAACTTCGATCAACAAAATTCAAATCAGTAGAGGTAATAGTGATCTTAGCGATTCATTGATAACTATCACCGACTGCAATCACTTTTTGTGATGTGACACACGGGTATTGCGTTTGATGAACATTTAATTATTACTAATAACGCAAAAGAGATTTTTTAATCGGTATTGTATAATTAGCTTCAGTTATGATCTTATAAGTTATGCTGCATGTAATTTAATATTGAGTTGTCAGTGACTACCAAAATTTCTAGGAAACGGCCAAATAAATATCTATCTCTTTCTTTCTTTCAAAAGATGTAAGCAAGGTTAGACCAGACAGTAAGAGGTGGGAAATCCCTAAATGGGTCATGAATTTATGCTTCAATATTGTAGTGTTCTGGCAGTCTGACGGTTGAAGAATTCATTAACCTCGCTGTACACCAAAACCGAAAGTGTTACACTTTTTGACGAAATCGAACGAAGATTTGACGAAGACGAAATCCGGCCATGCGTCAATTATACTGTACAAAATCCCTATTCACATCATATCGCATTCGTTAACAAGACAATGAAAAGTATATTAACATACTATAAAATAATATTCAGCAAAAAAATGAAATAAGTTGCCAGCATCTGTCTTTATATCCGATTACAGTGTAGGTAACAAGGCAAAAGTGAATAGACTTTTTTGAGTCAGTGCACTTCAATCTTCGGCTGCACCACCACTTACCACTAGGTGAGAGAGTAGCTATGCGCTGCCTTACAATAGTAAAAATATCTTATAGCCTTAAGCAATGTTTATATAATTAAATAATTGCCTAATTGAAGACAATTACTAATTATTTATATAACAGTATACGTTTAATATTTTTTTGGTTTGTGTGGTTGACGGATATGACGTTTTTCCCCAAATGCCAAGCTCAACGGTACCTAAAATTATTGACGGTCCCAATTATATCCGGTGACCGATTAGATCTTTTTTATAGAAGAGGGGGCAAACGAGCATGCGGCTCACCTGATGGTAAGTGTCGACGTGAAGTATCGGTCCAGAAAAATCGCCGGAGGTGAAAGATTCCACAAAGTAGTCGTGCAAGGAAGAGAATTCCTAGTAAATCACACAGTGATGAAAACCAAGCATTCAGGTGGTGCGAATGAAATCGGGAATTTAGTTGAAAAAGATTGAAAAGACAGTTGATCAATAATAATAATAATCCCCAGACTGAATTTCGGTCACGGCGGCCAGCCTCAACGGAGACTGGCCATCGGCGCAGGACAGGATTATAGTGCCCAAGTATATGCGCAAGCACAGGTGCACTCTCTATTCCGTCAGTCTCATATTCCGTTGGGACGATAAACTGACTCGACCGGAGAGAGATCCGGCGCAGGACCAACGGCTTTACGTGCCTTCCAAAGCATGGGGTTGAGACACCGCCAACTTATCGACTCCGGGCAGCTACTAAGAATTTCTTAATGGAAAAACTCAATAACTGATTACGTTATGGTGACCAATTCGAGTGTATTGACTCTGCTGGTGCGGCAACTTGCTTGTCCAATGTGCTGAGTATGAACAAATATGTTAAATGATGTTTGTCCAACCGGCGAATTCTTAGAAAAGTTGGACAAACCAGCCGCCGACTTAAAAAAGTTAATGATGTGTTATAGGAATTTAGGATTTGTATTATTTACTTTCTCTCAATGGTCAAACCTATTTATAATGTTGCATAGCAGCCTATGTAGTTTTTGATATTCTTACGTGAATTAGATGGCTGTGTGGCGTAGTAGCTTAACAATGAGTTGCAGCGCTGGGTGTCTGGGGTTCGAAACCCGCATGAAACAAGTATTTGTATGCCCTGTGCAATTTATAAACTATTCCACGATACAGGAAAAAAACCTAGTTTGGGAATAATATTTTTTAAAGAAAAACAAGAAGAAAAAAGAATTTTCCAATTCAATCGATCAATCATTAAGCCCACAATCTTGTGAGATGTAAAATTTACCAGTCAATCGTCCCGTGTGTCCAACACGTTAACGAAATACAAATATTGGTCGGCGCGCGACACAAATTAAGACTAATGTCTAATGTAAAGTATATTTTAACTTGAAACTAAGTGCTTTGACAAAGTACCGGTTAGCATAACGCGACGCGGTTCGATACGGTAGCTATACTGTTAAATCTTTACCCGATACTGTGGGTATAACGTGTTAATATTATTTATTCTCTGCATTATATTCAAATTAGTGTAATGAGTCTAACTTGAGACTTTATTCTCGAATTGTTGTTGCAATTAGTGGGATTTAACAAGTGTCAAGTAATCACTACTACGTGGTAGAATCGCACTATAGCGATATTACGGTTGTAGCACGAATGGTTCGGCTCGACCAGGGTAATACCACGCTCTCACAAAACGCCAGTGTAAAATAGCTACTTAATGTTGCCTGTATGGTGAGTGTAGAGAAGCAGAGACCCTTTTTACAGGAAACGAAGCATTCCATCTTAGTTCTCAGGGGTTCTTAATCGAGGATAAAAAACGTAGATGACTATGAGCCACAGCATCCACTTGCCATCGGGTGGAATGTGTGCACCCTTATTTTATAAAAAAAATCAAATATACAGTTTGTTAGTATACTTTATAATTGCGATCAATCTATCGCTTTGCAAAATTATCCTAAATAAAGTTTTACAAGAAAGAGATCATCAAGTTGTGACTGCATACTATATTACCCTATTCTTATGCATAGGCCTCTTATCATTATTGAAAGGGTTTTAAAACAAGATAGAGTTCATACATTCTGAGTCTTGTTTGTATGTTCGCCTCCACAACCAGGCACGGGTAAATCTTCACTTAAAATTTCAATCCATAATTTCATTGGTGCCAGCGGAGATTGTGCTCGATTTGCGTGTGTACTATAAAATTTATTTCAAATGCTCTGAACCACCTTGGCTTGAAGTGACAGATACATTTGGAGTAAAACACGGTACCAATATGTAGTATTGATATACATGTTATGGAGTCAAAAACGTAATTATTACAATATATTATATTCTCTTAAATTTAGTTTTTTTTACAGAATATTAATTACAAAGTGTTCATATTGAAAGTTTATTATTTCCATTATAAATATTGTTTAGTATGTTGAATATTTTTTTAAATAAAATAATGGTGACAAATGAGCACACAGACCACCTGATGGTAAGTGGATGATGTAGCTCATAGACATCTACATATAACTTCGATAGAGATTCTCAATTCTCTTTTGATTCAAATGCAGATGCATCATTACCTCTAGGGTCTAAAATGAAATGTCTCGTTTCCAGTAAAATGGGTCTCCGGTTCTTTACACTCACTGCATACGGAACACAGCAGTGTAAATCTGCTAATTTACGGCGGTATTCTGTGAGAGTGAGGTCCCTAGGTCCGGTAGTTGAGGCGAACCATACGTGCTACACCCGTAAAATAGCTAGAGCCTGTACCACGTAAGTATCTAATGAATCTTCGTTATGAAAAAAAACCTAGTACAAACTTTCTGCAAAGCGTTTGATTGCTTCGACCACCCGGCGACTGCTCGCAACGTTATTAATACACATAAAATGCAAAAGCATTCTATATATTATTCAAAGGTTGAATCAGGTAGAAGGTCCTGTGAAATTTGTCGATGAAGTGCAACTTTTGTATGCAACGTGCGAAGAGGGAGTCGCGCAAGGTGAACTATAGGTCCGATTTTATTTTTTATGCGTTCATTTCTATTTATTGATAAAAACCGACGGCGGATGTCGGTATAGGGACTGTTTGCTTTTTACTTGATGAAATACCTTGAATAGTGTAACTCTCTTTTATACTTACTTTTTTCTTTATTATTATTAACACGCTAAAGAATTTAACTTTCATTTAAATTTACATTTTCAAATACTTCGAAGTACATATAAATAAATAATAGTTATAAAATCACTTATCGACAATAGCAATGCTGACGGACTCTACATTATAACAAATTAAAATTAAATGCATCAGTTGAGTCCCTTTTTAGGCTTCCGTACCCGAAGGTAACCAACCTGAGGTTTTACTAAGCCTCCGCTGTCCGTCCGTCCGTCCATCCGTCCGACCGTCTGTCTGTCAGCGGGCTTTATCTCGTGATCCGTAATAGTTAGACAGTTTTCATTTTCACAGAATGATATATCTGTTGCCGCTATTACAACAAATAATAAAAATAAAAATAAATTACAAAACTAAAGGGGGCACCCCTACTAGAAACGTGTATTACGATGGTATGGAAACCTTCATGCGCGAATCCGACTCGCTCTTGGCCAGTTATTTTTTTTTGTATTTTGATGTGATTTATTTTGAATATTATGAGATGTTAACAGGGTAACATCACTAGATCTTTTGTTATCAGATTAATTAAAAAAGAGCAAGAGTCTTACTAATTGAAAGCTTTCACAAGACGAAATCTACGATATAACTAGTGAAGTGAAATAATAGAGGACAAATCAGGCCCTCTAATCAAAACAACATACACTTAGTTAGATAATACTGATGAAAAGTTTAAGTCTTAACTTCCTAATTTACATAAAATAACTACTGACTAAACTCACCTGAACCCGACTCTCAGTGAGGCCGATCCTCATGGCGATCTCTTCTCTCATAAAAATATCGGGGTAGTGCGTCTTAGAGAAACATCTCTCCAGCTCATTTAATTGTGCAGGAGTAAACCTGTGGACAAGGGTTGATTGCTTAGTAAGCTATACTCACTTAAAACCTTACGCTATAAGAATTTCTAATAATCAAATTATACCTATCATTCTATAATATCCCTCAGCTTGGCAGAAGTGGCTGTTATTTATAGAGTGAGTAATCAATCGGACGGAGTGTTCCATGTTGTTACAGTACGGGTTTAAGTTTGTAGTCGTGTACACATATAAGTCTGATATATATCTTTTAGTCAGTCTACAATGTATTTCCAAAACATGCAGGCGCCCTCACGATATTTTTGTTACCGTTGATTAAATAGTAAATAGGAATTTTACACAGTTATTAAAATTTAATACTTTACGTAAATATACATATAAAGATTTGAATTTATGTAAATAAAGACGTAAAATCTTAAATATATAAAAATGTTAACCTTTGGATGAGAATCTGATCCAGGATCAGTAACTTAGTGTCGGTGCTTTAACAACTTTTTTTTATAGGATAAGGGCGACAAACTAGCACACAGTCCACCTGATGGTAAGTGGCCCATAGACATCTACATTTATCCTCGATTACGAATATCAAAATGTAGATGCGTTGTCACCCGTGAGGGCTAAGATGGAATGCCTCGATTCCAGTAAAAAAGGGTCTCCGGTTCTGTACACTCACCATACGAAACACAGCAGCATTCAGCTGCCTTCCCCGGTCGAGCCGACCCATTCGTGCTACAACTATACCAGAAATATAGCTGCAGCATGGCTCTACCATGTATAATACAACAACTAAACCAATCGAATGTTATCCTTTATTTAAAGTTAAAGTCAAAACATTATTATTCAATATTGGCCTTTACAAACCACTTTTTGAAAGTCATAATATGACAATGCTTCTATAAGTCCCTACTGTGATTCCTTGATATCTAAATACCGGATAACTTTTGTGTGGTAGAGCCACACTGCAGCTGTATTATAACTGTTACACGAAAGGGTCGGCTCGACCGGGGTAGGGTCACGCTCTCACGGAATACCAGCGTAAAATAGCAGCTCGGCGCTGCTGTGTTGCATATGGTTAGTGCCTAGAACCAGAGACTATTTTTACTGGAAACCAGGCTTTTTATCTTAGCCTTCAGGGTGATAACGCATCTGCATTTTGATTTTTAATCGATAATAGATATAGATGTCTTGAGCCACAGCCTCCACTTACTATCAGGTGGGCTGTGTGCTTGCTTGTCACTCTTATTCTATAAAAAATATATAATAACAATAATTCATAAATTGATATAACAACCAGTTAAATGTATATAAATAAAAATAAACTAAAACTAAGAGGCAGATATGTGAAAATAAATGCTTTTACATACATATTAAATTTAATGATAGGTCTTTACCTATAAAGTTGCCGTTCTGTAGTACTGGCAATTTCAAATTAAAATAATTTTTGTTTGGCTAAGAATTCCAATTTCAAAATTTTATTTTAAAAACATGGAATTATTTTTTTTTTTCAAAATTAGTCATTTGGTTATTGATAACGATTATGCTTTCATCGCATTATGTATCTATGTCGTCATAGATACGTTAAAAATCGAGTAATTATGATATATGAGTACAGTCGCAGCAGCAACGCAGCACAAGCGACATGCAACAACAACGACGTTTACGGAGCGAATCGACCTGAAAAAGAAAGAAACCCCGTGACCGTCCGAAAACTTTGGTCGACAATAAAGTATTAAAGGCGATTGTGGAAGCTGGTGATACACAATCTACGGCTGAATTATCCGCAGCTTTCGACGTTAATATTAAAACAATATTGGTCCATTTTCGTCAAATTGGCAAGGTAAAAAAGAATGACAACTAGGTGCCCCACGAACTCAATGACCACCAGCGCGAAGTACGCATCGATACGTGCCTTTCACTGCTCAACAAGCACACAAACGAAGGAATTTTGAACCACATTGTCGTGCTACGAAAACTAAATTCCGTTTGATAATCGGAAATGAGATCCTGGTTCAGCGCCTAAACAATGACCTGAACGAAAACTTACCCCTATACAAGTGGTAAAATTAAAAATTTTGCACATTTAACTTATATATAAATAAAATGAGAACATCATCAATGTAACGCAGTCGATTAAATACGTATTATTAAGGCTAACTCAAAAACTAATAATCAGATCTTGATCAAATTTATATGGGACCACATGAAAAGCACCATCTTTCAAATAAAAAAAAGAATTTTTCCATTCTGAGGGACACACTTTTAAAAATGCAGTCGAATTGAGAACCTCCCCCTTTTTATGAAGTCGGTTGAAAAGTGATATCTACAGTTTGGTGGTCTATAGTCATTGAGTTATATATACTACGTACTAGAGACGCTATTCGAAACAAAAATTGTGCGCTACTCTATGTCTTCGCGCATGCGCGGGACATAGTAGAGTCACGCATGCGCAAGACATTAATTTAATATAAAATAAGATATTAATATAAAATAAATGCAAGAATTTTATATACAATACTCTTACTCTTTTCTTAATCTAAACACAAACATATTTCTTCAATTTACGCAATATTTAGTTAGTAGTAGTGTACGGATTGCAGTACAGTTCAGTTGAACATAGTCAATGTTCGGAATGTGAAATCTAGTGCGTAGTACAAATATATCGATGTCTGTAGTCTAGTCACCGGTGTGATTCACCACAGCTTCTTTCCGAACGGGATCAGCGTGTCTGCAGATGTGTACTGTAAAGAATTGAACACAATGATGGAGAAGCTCGCATGTCTCAAAGCAGCTTTGGTCAATCACTCGTCCCCGCTGTTCCTGCACGATATCGCGCTACCTCACACCGCACAACAGATGGTCTCCAAGTTACAAGAGCTGGGGTTGGAAGCTCTCCGTCATCCGCCGTACTCACCAGACCCTGCGCCTACAGACTTCTACTTTTCCTAGAATTTGGATCACTTTTTGGCGGGAAAAAAATTCAATGCCCGAGAGGCAATATAAAATGCCTTCAAATAATTTGTTGCCTCACGTCCAGCTGATTTCTTCAAGGAGGGCGTCAATAAACTGCAACTGCATTGGCAAAGATGCATTGATTGTGATTACGTTAACATAATTCATAAGAAACGGCAATTTCATAGGTAAATAGCGGCTCCGTGGCGCAGTGGCTTAGCAATGAGTCACAACTCTAACAAGTATTTGTATGGCCTACAAATAATTGTTCCGGGTCTGAATGTTTGTCCTCGTGCAATTTATGTATGTAAACTGCCCCCACGATACAGGAGAAAATCCTAGTGGAGGTAACGTTTAAAAAAAAAGAGAAAAATAAGAAATACCTAATATTATTTTAGTCGTAATATTAAACAACGTATTAAATAATGATTTCTTATATTTACGCGAACACTACACATTTAAATAAAACTAATTTTTATTTTTATACGCGATAAAATCCGTAAAATTAGTTTTATTTAAACGTATGAAATGATAAATATACTTGAAGGTTAAAATAATTGGTATGGGAATAGGTAAGTTATTACTGTAGAAGCTTGTGAACTTTATATTTGAATTTATCTCTGGACATGTTTATATCTACTTTATAAGGTTAAATATTATATACTGTACACTAGTATAAACATCTTTCTATTGGATTCAGATTAACATTCATAACTCTTAAAGACAATTTTGTTTCTTTATCAATAAGTTTGTCTAAACGTGGTAGAGCCATGCTGCAGCTATATTATAGTTTTAGTACGAATGGATCGGCTCGACCGGGGAAGGACCACGCTCTTACTGAATACCAGCGTAAAATAGCAGCTTAGCTTCTAACAGTGGTAGAGCCACGTGGCAGCTTTTGCTGTCGCACGGATGGGCCGGCTCGAACTGGGATGGTACCACGACCTCACAGAAAACCAGCGTGAAGTAGAGGTTTACCTCTGCGTTTCGCTTGGTGAGTGCAGGTGGCCGGAGGCCCTTTTTACTGGAAATGAGGCATTCCATCTTAGTCCTCACGGGTGACAACGCATCTACATTTTGATTTGGAATAGAGGATAGATGTAGATGTCTATGGGCCGCAGCAACCACTTACCATCAGGTGGACTGTGTGCTCGTTTGTCACCCTTATCCTATAAAAAAAGAGAACCGGAGACCATTTTTACTGGAAATGAGGCATTCCATCTTAGTCCTCACGGGTGACAATGCATCTGCATTTTGATTCGTATTCGAAGATAGATGTAGATGTCAGCAACCACTTACCATCAGGTGGACTGTGTGCTCGTTTGTCACCCTTATCCGTTAAAAAAAAACTTGTGCCAACATTTAAAATTCAAGTTTTATGATTTCAGTGTACGAGTAAGTAATACTATTTTACCTTGTTCTGTGCCTCTTCTGCTTGGCCGGCTTGTCACTATCCGAGGCTGAGGAAGACATGCTGACCGGCACAGTTGACATGTGCCCACCACTGTGCTGCTGCTGGTGAAGTCCACCTTGTCAAAAGAATAGAATAGAATAGAATGATTTTTATTCAATGTAGATTATTACATAATACTTATTGAAAAACATTTTTTTATTTACTACTGAAAATACCTCTGTCTTGGGAAGAACCAGCAAGAATCCTAGCGGGACTTTTTTTAAACATATGTTTAAATAGAATTGTCTGAAATCTATCTCACCAACATCTCATACATTTACAGGTAACAGTCGAACAGTATGCCGTCTTTCATCAGTCTTATTACTTATACTTTCTTCATCCACCAACACATACACACAAACCCGCACATCATGCATACGACAACACTCCTACACTCACATTTACACACTCCTTAATATACACAAACTAATTACAAATTTTCTAGAGGCTGAACTTTTTGTAATCTTACTTTTTTGTAATACTTAAGGTCATTCCCGACACGAGTATCCTCTGATTACTCAGTGGGAAGTCTCAGTATTGAGTTGTTAATAAGACTACCGAAATAAACGCATTATTTATTTATGTTACTTAACAATAATTTTGTACAATTTTTAAAATTACATTTAATAGAACCAGCATGGTGGCTATTACCTCATTCCCAGGGGTTTTTTTCACTTATGTATTCCTTGATATTATAATAACGTTTTTTGTACAATTTTTCATTAATTAAACTTTGAATATTTTCTGAGATAAAGGTGGTATACATTGCCCCAGAAAATGCTTAATGTTGGCAAACTTAACATTTATAACTATACAGTTTCATAGTAGTTTTATTTAATTTCATCAAGCATAGTTCTCTTTGAATAAAACTATTTAAATATTAACTTTACGGATTTTATAGCGAATAATTTTACTTTTTCTATAGAATAGGGTGACAAACGAGCACGCAGTCCACTAATGATAAGTGGGAGCTGTCACCCATAGAGATCTAAATGTATCCTTGATTAAGAATCAAAATGCAGATTTAGAGAACCGGAGACCCTTTTTACTGGAAAAGAGGCATTTCATCTTAGTCCTCACGGGTGACAACGCATCTGCATTTTGATTCGTAATCGAGGATAGATGTAGGTGTCTATGGGCCACAGCAACCACTTACCATCAGGTGGACTGTGTGCTCGTTTGTCACGCTATCCTATAAAAAAAAGATATGTTGTCACCTCTGAGGACTATGTCTCTGGTTCTTCAAACTCACCTTACGAAATTTTGATGATTCTTTTTTCATTCAATAGGTTATACTCAAAAGTAGTCCCATATAAATTTGGAGAAAAAATACCACCCCAATGTGTGGTATTTTTTGCCTTTGATTCTTAATTAAATGGTAGACATTAAATGAAACTAATTTTTACGAATTTTATCGCGTTTAATTTAAGTTTTTAATTCGCGACGTTCCGGGTGCTTTACAAAAAGAACACCGATAGGAATCGGACCAGTAGGAACCAAGGATAAGGATGATTCACGAGGTTATTGAAATTAAAAAAACATCCTAATTTCAAGACAGAAGATGGATGGGTGCTACCATTTGTTGGGATCCTATAATTAATAAAATTAAATCCAAACACAAACACGCAAGCAAGACTTCAAGATACTGTAAGCTCATTCAGCGTGAATCAGACCAAAAATGAATATTCAAAAACTGCAGGTAGCCGGGCTAACTATGACATCGGGACCTTAAACACCTCAGTCACCCCCGTGCCCATGGGTGCTGTAACGCACCCGAAACGTCGGGAATTAAAAAGTTAAATTAAACGATAAAATTCGTAAAAATTAGTTTCATTTAATGTGTAGTCTTTGCGTAAATATTAGAAATCATTAAATAGTAGACGATATAATGCCCTTCAGGACGAATTTCGGTCACTTCGGCCAGTCTCAAGACAAACTAGTACACGAGTGATTGCACAGCACAGGTGCTCTCCACTCGGTTCCCTCACACTAGTTCGATGGGACTCAATTCGAAACGACCGGAGAGACACACGCAGTATCAACGGCGTAACATGCGTTCCAACGGAGGTAAAACAGCGTCAACTTTCTCAACCTACCCACTAGCCACTGTGAAATTTTTAACAGAAAAATCAAATAACTGATTTGATTCGATCCAGGATTCGAACCCTAGCCACAGGAAATGTAAACGCGGTTACTACCACTAAATTAAACAGACAGTCAGTCAGATAGTTCACATAGGTATCCAAGAGCCACAGGATTCACTTACCATCATTTGGAATGTATTATCGCTCTTTTCTTTCTTTCTTTTCTTTCCACTACGATTTTCTTCTGTATCGTGGAGGCAGTTTACAAACATAAATTGCACAAGCACAAACATCCAGACCCGGAACAATTATTTGCAGGCCATACAATACTTGTCCCGTGCGGGATTAGAACTCGCGGCCCCCAGCGCAGCAACTCATTGCTAAGCCACTGCGCCACGCAGTCGGTAAAAGTTTAATAATTGATATAATAATTAAACTTCTTCCCCGTTAAACTAAAATCACTAAAGTTCAGAAGCTTAATATGCAGAATTTTTTTTAAATTTTTGTGTCGGTTTTATTTCAAGTTAATTTATTTTACACTTTGAATAAAACTGGCTTTTACGGATTTTATCGCGTTTATTTTACTATTTTTATTTCCGACGTTTCGTGTGCTTTACCGCGACCCATGGTCACGGGGGGACTGAGATGTTTGACGTCCCGATATCACAGTTAGCCCCGGCTACCTTCAGTTTTTTAATATAAATTTTTGGTTCGGTTTACGCAGAATGAACTTACAGTATCTTGAAGTCTTGCAGTGGTATGCTTGGGTTTGGATTTAATTTTGTTAAGATTTTTTAAAGTTTATGGAATTAAGGTGGTCTAAAATAAAAATTCCATAAACTCTAAAATACAATTCACAATGGAGTTAGAGGCAAAACAATTCTTTAGCTTTCCTATATGTTTTAGTTATCCGAAATCCTGATAACACTATTGTTCACACTGTGTATAGAAAAAAGACCCATACCAACCGATATTTAAATGGTGAATCGCACCATCATCCATCACAATTAGCTACCGTGGGAAAATCTTTGTTTCAGAGAGCACGAGGGATCTGTGACAGAAAATATCTGGCAGCCGAGTTTCAGCACGTCGAGCAAGTATTGCAAGACAACAAGCTTCAGGTCCCGCGCCTACGTCACAGTGACCGAGTGAAGCCGACCACAGTCGAGCGTGTGCCTGCTGTACTACCCTATGTCAGAAGAGTCACAGACGATTTTGGCTACATCTTGAAGCGAGCTTCTATTAAAACATACTTTAAGCCGCCGAAGAAGATTAGTCAATTTTTACAATCCGTCAAGTGTAATATCCCTCTACAAGATGCAGGAGTGTACAAGCTTGATTGCGAATGTGGTCTCTCTTACATAGGACAAACAAAAAGATCCATTAAAACCCGCGTGAAAGAACATATAGCTGACGTGAAGCACCGATGCTCTGGGAAGTCTGCAGTCTGTGAACATGTTCACGATCGTCCCCGCCATTACATCAGATTTGATAGACCACAAATCCTCGCAAAAGAACACCGATTCCTACCAAGGATGATACGCGAGGCTATCGAAATTAAAAAACATCCTAATTTCAATAGAGAAGATGGATGGGTGCTGCCATCTGCTTGGAATCCTATAATTAACAAAATTAAATCCAAACCCAAGCATACCACTGCAAGACTTCAAGATACTGTAAGTTCATTCTGCGTAAATCGAACCAAAAATTAATATTAAAAAACTGAAGGTAGCCGGGCTAACTGTGATATAGGGACGTCAAACATCTCAGTCCCCCCACCCCTACCCCCCGTGACCATGGCTCGCTGTAAAGCACACGAAACGTCGGGAATAAAAATAGTAAAATAAACGCGATAAAATCCGTAAAAAAAAACAGTTTTATTCAATGTATAGTGTTCGCGTAAATATAAGAAATCATTATTTTACACTTTTGAATCGTCTAAGAAATATCACAAGTCCAAAGTGACAATAAGGAAGTCGCATAAAATAGGTACATTTAAATTTTCATCGTCTAATTTTTACCATCCTTACGTATCGATCTTTTCTTATAGTTTATATGGAACCACGCCTGAAGTATAAACTATTTAATAATAAAGAATTATTTAATCCAGTTTAAATGTTTCGGTGTGCATACATAAAATACCTTTACGGTTACCGCTACCGCAGCCTATTAAAGAAGTTAGAAGTTACTGCTGAACATAGGCCTCTCTCATACATTGCCTCATAGGGAGGATATTTGCTACAGTTGTAACGTTACTGTTGATTTAATAATTTCAACTCTCAGTGCGTCATATGCTCCTGGTAGATTATCTTCTATACATCCATGCATTACAGCCTATAAAAGTCTACTGCTGAACATAGGCCTCCCCCATAGATTGCCTCATAGCGGAATATTTGTCATAGTTGTAATGTAACTGTTGATTTAATAATTTCATCTCTGAGTGTGTCATGTGCTCCTGGTATATTATCTTCTATACATCCATACATTACAGCCTATAACTGAACTTGAAGTCCACTGCTGAACATAAGCCTCCCCCATAAATTGCCTCATGGGGGGGATATTTGCCACAACTCCTACGCTTAACAAGCGTGTTTGGCATTCGCGTATTACTGTGTAGTGACAATGGAATCAATTATTAAGTGCCAGCTCATGCGGTACCATGAGGATCACCAGCTGATTAGTGACCGCCAATACGGTTTTCGTCGGGGTCGATCAGCTGGTGGTCTTCTGGTCTACCTGACCCATAGATGGGCAGAGGCAGTAGAGTCCAAGGAGGAGGCGTTGGCCGTTAGTTTGGACATTGCGAAGGCCTTCGATCGGGTTTGGTACAAAGCGCTTCTTTCGAAGCTCCCTTCCTATGGGCTTCCCGAGAAATTGTGCGATTGGATCACCAGCTTCCTTGCAGATCGGTGCATCAAGGTCGTTGTAGACGGTTCATGCTCCGACTACAAACCTATTAACGTGTGTTCCACAAGGTTTGTGTGCTATCACCAACGCTGTTTCTTCTGCATATCAATGATATGTTGCTAACTGGTAACATTCATTGCTATGCGGATGACAGCACTGGCGATGCTCTATACACCGGCCGTGCCAATATTTCTCGGGAAAACGTCGCCGAGTACCGGAACAAACTTGTGTGAAGTCAAGTCTTTGCTGAACAAAGTCTCGGATTGGGGGCGACTAAATTTAGTCCAGTTTAATCCTCAGAAGACACAAGTTTGCGCGTTTACCGCTAAAAAGAACCCCTTTGTCGTATCTCCTCAGTTTCAAGGCACTCCCTTTCTTGCCTCAGCCAGTATCGGAATCCTCGGAGTCGACATATCGAGTGACGTGCAGTTTCGTGGTCACTTAGAAGAGAAGGCCAAATTGGCCTCTAAAAAGCTTGGCGTGCTCAGCAGAGCAGGACAGTATTTCATGCCGGCACACCGCCTGCAACTTTACAAGGCGCAGGTTCGGCCTCACATGGACTACTGTTCAGGGCAGGGGCTCCCCTGTGACAGGTCCTTCCACTTGACCGCATCCAGCGCAGAGCGGCTCGAATCGTCGACGACCGAGTCCTTTCCGATCGGCTCGATTCATTGGCACTTTGAAGAGATGTTGCATCCCTTTGCATTTTCTTTCGCATCTACCACGGGGAGTGCTCTGAGGAATTGTTCGGATTAATCCCAGCCGCCAAATTTTACCATCCACACCATCTGGATGATTGGCGGTCCACCACTGTGCGATTTAGAAGATGTTTTCTTCCTCGCACGACTTCCTTGTGGAATCGATTACCATCAGCGATTTTTCCGGACCCATACGACTTAGGGACCTTCAAGAAAAGAGCGTACTCCTTTTTAAAAGGCCGGCAACGCATCTGCGATTTCCTGCCTGGTGTTGCAGATGTTCATGGGCGGCGGTAGTCACTTACCATCAGGTGAGCCGCATGCTCGTTTGCCCCCTCTCCTATTTAAAAAATTGATAACTTTTTAAAAGCATCGGAATTATTAAGTAACTCTTATCCTGTTACTTATATCTTTGGTTATCGCATACTTAAATCAGGAATTAATTACCGTGTAGTAGCGGTTGAACAATATCCACTACCCAATATCATCCCGTGGGTGTCGTAAGAGGCGACAGAGGGGAAACAAATCAGGAGATGTCCAGCAGCTTCTTCCTAATAAATAGAAAATAATACGCGTCAAATATAGAACTTTCTTTTTTGAACTCAATTAAAAAAGTTTTAAAGTATCGTTCGATAGTCTAAGAATAACAAGCGTTACCTTGCAGATGTTCGGTGCGTATGGAGTGCGCGAGATGAAGCCGCGCTCCCAGCGCATGGTGCGAGCGGTCGACGCTTGGCTTCAGCTCCAGCTGCTTACTGTCCTCAGAGCACGACTCTTTGTGACCTGCACATAGAGAGACACCGATTTCATCGCATTGCATATTGGATTTTTATCAATCAATTACCACAGCCTATCAAAGTCCACCGCTGAACATAGGCTACTTAATATAAGGGGAATATTGCCTATAGTTGCCAAGCTTGTCAGGCGGGTTGGCAACCGTAAATTTTTATTTTTAAGTTATTATTAGGAAGACGCTGCTGCTCGTCACCTGGTTTGTATCCCCCTGTCGCCTCTTACGAAGCCCACGGGATAATATGGGGTAGTGGATATTCTTACATCGCTAATACACGATCCTGATAATTTGAAGTGACGTAATTTATCACATGCAGGTTGTTAAAGTAATTGTTCCCAATAAAGTGCAAAAATTTGAAAGAAAAAAAGAGGTGACATTATTCAACTCATCAAATTCTAAACATGTATTAAAGAAGTATTGTATAAAAAGACTTCTATTTTTATAGAATAAGGGTGACAAACGAGCACACAGTCCACCTGATGGTAAATAGTTGCTGTGGCTATCTACATCTATCCTCGATTACGAATCAAAATGCAGATGCGTTGTCACCCGTGAGGACGAAGATGGAATGTCTCGTTTCCAGTAAAAAAGGGTATCCGGTTCTCTACTCTCATCAAACGAAACACAGCAGTGTTATGCTGCTATTTTACGCTGGTATTCTGTGAGAGCGTGGGTCTTCCCCAGTCGAGCCGATCCTTTCGTGCTACAACTATACTACTAATATAGCTGCAAGATGACTCTACCACGTAAAGATAAAGACTTCTTATAATATTAATTAATGTAAATAACCCTGGATACAAGGTAAGCAACCCAGCTATTTCCAATATGCTTTGTATAGTAAATCGTAGGTATTTAAAATATATAACTTCTTTTTTTAAATAGTCCCGCTGGGTTTCTTACTGGCAGTAAATTAAACTTAAAATTAACTTTAATAACTCGTAAACTTTAACTTTAACTTTAACTCGCAGTATTGGTGGCTCCGTGACGCAGTGGCTTTGCATTTAGTTACAGCGCTAAAGGCCGCGGGTACAAATTCTGCACGGAATAAGTATTTGTATGGACTACAAGTAATTGTTCCAGGTCTGAATTTTTATCCTTGTGTAATTTATGTATGTAAAATGCCCCCACGATACAGTAGAAAATCCTAGTGTGGGGGTTACATTTTTTCAAGAAAAAAAAAGGGTATTAATTTGAATAAGTTTAAAATTTTCACCATCATCATTCTCAGTCTTACTCATAAAATCCTCCTATACCTCTACAGCTAAACATATACCTCCCCAAAGATTGCTACAAATAATGTTTGTGAGCCACCTGCATCCACTGAAATTTCCGCATGTCACCAGGTCGTCACTCCATCTAGTAGGGGGTCACCTAACACTGCAATTGCCAGTACGGGGTTGACACTCGAGAACCTTTCACACCAGGCGGTCGGGCCGGCGCATTGCCACTTAAACTTTCCGAAGATAGCCCTTTCTACTGAAATCGTCACTATGAGTTTCCTCATTCGGCTAGCAGTGTCACCAAGTCAAGTCAAAATATCACTGGCAACATGAATCGTTTGCACACTGTTATATTCTTAATATCACCACTACAACCAGCCTTATCAATAGTCCACTGCTCAGTATATTTCTCCTCCATATATTGCATCCTAATGGGGATATTGGCCATAGTTGCCACGCTTGGCAGGTGGGCTGGCAACTGCAGTTTTTTTTTAAATCTAAAATTGTTAATATCGTCATTAAGAAAACAATTTTAATTAGTAATAAAGAGCTATTTGGTAATCTGAAAAGTTCAGTGGAGTTTGAAATTAAGAAATTTTATATCGTGCGACTATTTAAGCTTTTAAAAAGTTACTTCACAAACATCCGCTCGATAAAATGAAGTGGTGTGTCTTACCTATTATGAAGAGCACCTCCCGCCCTCCCTCAATTACGTGCACTATGTCCGTCACCACTAATCCCAGCACCTCTACTCCCAAAACCACTACACTAGGCAAGACACACCACTGACGACAATACGACACGTGTTTCGTCTCTACACGAGGCATCCTCAGGTGATGTAGACTCTGCGGTGGCTCACCGTTAAGTGACAACGTTAACGTCGACGGTCAGCCTAGCAATATTAGGCAATACTAGGTAAGACATACCATTTTATTTTATCGAGCGGATGTTTGCGAAGTAACTTTTTTAAAAGCTTTAATATAATGGATTTCCGCAAAGTAACGTCTGATTCTGTTAATTCGTGCAAATAAATGTTACAATGCTATATGATTTATTGCGACATTCGTTATGGAATAGGATAGAATGTGCAAACGCGCAGGTTTCCTCACGATTCATCGCCGGGCTGTTAAATCACCATTTAAAGTTGCTATTAACAATTTCATTGGTAATTATTACAATAAGACGTTATTTTGCGGAAATTACATTAAAGATGTTATGAATTCATAAGGTGACCTCTAAGTGACGGTTGCTGACCGTCAGAACTTAGAGGTCAACCATCTTCCTCACCAATATTATAGAATAAAATAGAATTATTTTAATTCAATATAGTTTACAAAAATACTCATTGAAAGTCATTTAAGCTTTAGTACTGGTTGCGAAAACTTCTGTCCTGGTAAGAACCGGCAAGAAATCCAGCGGGACCTTTTTAATAAAAAGATAATTTTTAATCTTTTTCTAACATTTAAGTATGAAAGCATTTACAAACGATATGGTTTTGGTGAATAAAGTTGCGATGGATTAAGTTGGTTTTTCATGATGAGAGCTCATCCCTTCACCTGGTTTAAAAAGTTTAATTGTGGTCGTAGCCAATTCACTAATAACCTACATATTATGTGTGGTACCTACGACTTCTTTTATAGAATACAATCTAACAAACGAGCAGATAGTTAGATTGTACAATCCACTTGATGATAAATGGATGCGGCTATCTACATCTACCCCCGATTAAATGATGCTAATTTTACGGATTTTATCGCGTTAATTTTTTTCTTTTTAACTCCCGACGTTTCGGATGCTTTACAGCACATACGGTCAGGGGAGAATTGAATTATTTGTCGCCTCAATTGTAAAATTGTTATGTAGGGTATAAAATATAATTACGAGTATATATAGATATATATGTATAGTTAGCCCGGCTATTTACAGTTTTTGAATATTAATTTTTGGTCCGATCTACTCAGAACGAGCTTACAGTATCTTGAAATCTTGCAGAGAGTGTAAGTCCAATCCAAACCCAAGCATACGGGTTTGGATTGAATTTTATGAATTATACGATCAATTCTCAAGTGAAATTAGGTTTTATTTTTAATTTCAATAGCTTCGCGTACTATCCGTGATGGGAATCAGTGTTCTTTTGCACGGATTTGTGGTCTATCAAATCTGATGTAATGGCAGGGTCAATCTTGAACATGTTCATAGACTGCAGAATTCTGCATGCTCCATGTCAGCTAAACGTCGGAAATTTAAAAAAGTTTAAATTGAACGCGATAATATCCGTAAAATTTGTTTCATGTAATGTGTAGTTTTCGCATAAATATAATAAATCAATATAGTGTCGATTAATCAAAATGCAGAATAATCAATCACCTCTGAGGATTACAGACAGTAAAAAGGGTCTTCGAAAGAGTTCTCCATTCATCTAAAAGCTTAAGTTAGTTGCTTTTTTGTAACAGCCATTTTTTATAGTATAGGGTGACAAACGAGCACACAGCCCACCTGATGGTAAGTGGTTACTGTGACCCATAGACATCTACATCTATACTCAATAAAGACTCAAGATGCAGATATGTTGTCGCCCGTGAGAGCTAAGATGGAATGCCTCTTTGCCAGTAAAAAGGGTCTCCGGTTCTCTACACTCACAATACGAAACACAGCACCGTTAAGCTGCTAACTTACGCTGGTATTCTGTGAGAGCATAGTGCTTCCCCGGTCGAGGCGACCCATTCGTGCTACAACTATACTACTAATATAGCTGCAGCAGGGCTCTACCACGTATAATCGCTATACGCTTGAGACCTCAACACAACAGTCTATGTACTGTTATTAAGCGGCAGAAATAAATAAACTCCGTAGGGAAGTGCCTTCCGTAACTTCTCAGACGTACTCCTAGACTAGAAGTTCTACTGCCTATTTACTTTAATTTTTTATACCTTCCAGACCAAATTTCTGTCACGGCGGTCAGTCTCAACGGAGCACAGCCATCTAGTTTGAAGAGCGCCTCCCGCTCTCCCTCAATTTGTGCACTATCCCCATCACCACTGATCCTAGCATTACTACTCCCAATACCACTACACTAGGAAATAAAAAAATAACTAATATACTTATATAAAATTTTTAAATTCATTTGATTTTTATCTATAACAAAGAATAAATTACTTAATGCGGTGTGGTGAGTATATTCATTCGGCATGTTGTGTAGCGGCTTATATCGTGTAGTGATGATGTAAGAATATCCACTACTCTATAACATCCCGTGGTTGTCGCAAGAGGCAACGGAGCGACAAGAACCATGAGATGGGCAGCAGCATCTTCCTGATAACAACTCTAAATAATAACCTAATAGCAACTAAGCCAGACAACTACGACAAATATTTAGAATAAACCTACTTCTACGGATTTATTCGTTTTAACTTATTTATCTTATTTTTATTAATTCCCGACTTCCCGATGTCAGAGTTAACCCAGAGTACCTTCACCTTTTTTAATTATTAATTTTGGTCCGACCTACGCAGAATGAACTTACTGTGTCTTCAAGTCTTGCAGTGGTATGCTTGGGTTTAGTTCTAATTTTATTAATTACAGGATCCCAAGCATGTGGTAGTGTACCCAGCCTCCCTCTCTATTGAAATTAGTATGTTTTTTTTTTAAATTTCAATAGCCTCACGTATCATCTTTGGCAGGAATCGATGTTCTTTCGCAAGAATTTGTGAAAAAAATCCGTAAAAGTAGTTTTATTCAATGTGTAGTGTTCGCGTAAATATAAGAAATCA